ACACAGAATACCTTGCCAGCTCTTGCTCTGCTGCTCCTGAATGCACCCCTCCTCTCAGGGGCCCAGGACCCTCTCCCTGATGCCTTCCAGTGATAAAGTCCTAACCCCTCTAAGTGGAGACTTGGCACCTGGGGCCTGCAGCAGTGGAGGGAACTGGCAGGAGCCCTGGATGGGTTAGGAGAGGGAGCCTCATAAGGCCCATTGGGCCCACCCCAGGGTGGCTGATACCCTCCACCTCCCATTCTGAAGGCTACTACACTTTGAACCCTTCCCACCCTGCAATGTAATGAGGGTGAAGGAGAACTCACTGGAACTTGCAACACAGCCGAGAGGGTCAGCCCAGCTGCTCCCTCCACCCCCCCTGCCCCCCAGGGTCTGACCTGTTCTGCTTTTTGTCTACCTAGACCTTACTCAGGCTCCCTTTGAGGGGAGCATCTGCTGAGCAGTCTTGGAAACTGCAGGACCCCATGGTGCCCTGCACTCCTGAGGACACTGGGCAGGGATCCTTACAGAGCGCAGGCACTCCGCATCCACTCAGCCCTGCCCTGAGACAGACCCTGCAGTGCTGGTTGACCCTGTGTGATAGTCCTGCTCCTGCAGGGAGCCAGGCAGGGAGAATCACAGCAGTGACCTGCTGTGCTGGCTGTGGGAGACTGATCTCCTCTGACCTCTCTGATACCTGCCCCTGCAGCAGGGCTGGGGAGTGTGCTGACCAGTATTTACTGGCCAACTGCTTTGTGCCAGAGCTAGGACAAAGCCCAGACACCTTACCCACGCCCCACCCCACCCCCCAGCACCTGCAGGGTTGTGGGGGCAGCAGTGTGGGGCAACTGGCGGGGTAGGGACATCCTGGAGGAAGGCCAATGAACTGATGCAGAATTTACTGGAGACAGCGAGGTGGGTTTGCCAAGCATGGGGTGCAGCCAGGGCAAAGGCCTGGTGGTCAGAGGTGGTGGGAGCAGGAGGGCAATTGGGCTGCAGGAGAGAGACCCTGATGCCTTCCTCACCACTACCTAGAGCCAGCCGGCTTAGGGAAGCTCAGGGTGTTCCAGGTGATCTGCGCCAGCCTCTGTCCTCTTGAATAATCACAGGCTGCCAGAGCTCAGTGTCCAAGCCTCCACCCAGGCAGAGGAAGGGGGCAAGGATATGGTGCCCAGCACCCACAGGGCAGCCTCCAGGAAGGGGGTGTCACAGGCCATGGTGTGGGTCACAGATAGGGTGGGGTCCCTACTTCAGGAGCATGGTAATGCTCCATGGAGAATCCACAGGGCCATTGTCTGGTTGCCATGGCTCCCAGCTACTGCTAATCCTTGCCTGGACAGGCTGGACCTCTGCAATGTCCCAGGCAGGCTTCACCTTGAGTGACCTTCTGGGCAGCATGGGGCTGAGGCCAGTCCGGAGCCAGGGGTGCACCAAAGCCACCTTGCTGGCCAGCAGAGTCCTCAGGAGAGCCAAGCTGACTCAAGCATCCTGCCTGATTTGGGGGCTGGGCCCTAGTAAGTGTATAGATGAGCCTTACATAGGACCCTGGGTGCCAGCAATCCCAGCAGAGTGAGATCCAAAACTGGATGGGGCCTCGGAGTGAGCAGGATATGAGGCAGAATAGAGGAATGAGCAGAAGCCCCCAGCCTGGGCAGGTGGAGAAGGTTCCAGATGGAGGCAAGCTGTGAGGGAGGGGCAGGCAGGGTCTTGGGGACCTACCCCGATGGCAGTGTCTTCCATCGGGCTGTTTTGTTCCTGCAGCCTGGGAGCCTGGAACCAGGCTGGCCTGGAAGGGTCTTGGTGGAGCCCTGTGCTGCCCAGTGACCAAGAGGCTCAGCACAGTGCCAGTGCTGGGCACCTGTCCCAGAATACCAGGACAGGAAGAAAAGGACATGCCTCCTGATAACCTTAGCCAGCATGGGCTCCTAACTTGGCCCTCAGTTTCCCCAACCATGTGGCTTGGGGGCAGAGGTGTCCTGGGCCTCTAAGCTGGCCAAGCTCCACCTCTAGTGTAGATCAGGGCCCCTGGTTCCTGTGATGGGAAACAGGTTTGGAGATGGAGCCAGCTGCCAGTGTGGCCAGGTGGGGCTGTGAGTGTGTGCGGCCAAGCCTGTCTTGTTTCTGCTGTGGAAAGCCTTACTCACTCAGAGGATAGTAAGCAGGGACACTGCTGGGCCCCACCTCCTTCCTGATGCTGAAGTTGGAATATGGCCAGGTAGAGGAGAGGCCAACCTGGAGGAGAGACCTGAGCCTGATTCTGTTGGGAGAGCCCTGAGCAGTTCGAGGTGGAGGGGGTCCTGCTCATGGTATGGACAGCACAGGCACTGGAGCCAGGGACACTGCCCCATCCCTGCTGCCCCAGCTTCCACAGTGGGTACGCCAGGGAAATCAAGACAGCCAGGCTGCCTGCCACATGTGGCAGCGCACACTTGTAATCCCAGCACTTGGGAGGACGAGGCAGGCAGATTGCAGCAAGTTCAAAGACAGCCTGTGCTACATAGTGAGTTCGAGGCCAGATTGAACTATATAGAAAGATCTTGTCAAAAACAAAAACCAACAACAAAAAACCCAGCCAGGCTGGATATACAATGGGCATTTTCCTGAAGCTCCTAAATCAGGTCCTACTGGTGGCACTGCCTACTCCCCACTTCTGAGCATGGCCACATCAGACAGCTGGGATTGGGGTTTCTCCCTTCTGATTGAGGGGCTCAGGGGAAACTAGCTGGTGGGAGCAGGACTGCATTGGCACCAGCCCCACAGTATACTGAGGGGAACCTTCTGGGGGCCAGGTCAGGCCCATCACCTACCCTGTTGTTTACCTGCTCGGGCATATGGCTTCTCCCTACCCCAGGGCCTTTGCACCTGTGGCTCTCTGTATGCCTCTTCTTTACTTAGCCACCCCTCACTAGGGTGAGGCACCCTCATATCCCTTGTTATTCTTGTTACTTTGCTTTTTTCTATATTAATCACAATCTAACATTTCCCACATTTAATAAGATTTCTTTTCTCCAGAGCTGAGACAGGATCACAAGGTTGAGCCCAGCCCAAACAACTTAGCAAGACCCTATTTCAAAAAAATAAACAAAACTGTTTTTAAAAATTAAATCAAATTTCATTTAAAAAGGGCTGGGGCTAGCCGGTGGTGCTCGCGAACAGAGCGAGCTGTGGGTACTCGACATGGTGGCATCGGCGGTGGTGACTGCAGCGCCTAAGGGGAATGGGGGTGCCAGTGGCTGGGCCGGGCCCAGCGAAAGCAGTGGCATGAGAAGGAAGAAGGGCCCGGGGCCGTTGGCCACAGCGTACCTGGTCATCTACAATGTGGTGATGATGGCGGCGGGCTGGCTGGTTATAGCACTTGGTCTGATCAGAGCCTATCTGGCTAAAGGGAGCTACCATAGCCTTTATTATTCAATAGAAAAGCCTCTGAAATTCTTCCAAACTAGAGCCTTACTGGAGATTTTACATTGTGCTATTGAATTGTTCCATCTTCTGTTGTCCTGACTTCTTTCCAGGTGATCTCAAGAGTTTTTCTAATATGGGCAGTAACACATAGTGTCAGAGAGGTACAGACTGAAGACAGTGTCCTCCTGTTTGTTACTGCTTGGACAATCACAGAAATTATCCGTTACTCCTTTTATACATTGAGTCTGTTAAACCATCTGCCTTATCTCATCAAATGGGCCAGGTACACGCTTTTCATCATGCTGTACCCGATCAGCGTGTCAGGAGAGTTGCTTACAATATATGCAGCTCTGCCCTTTGTCAGACAGGTTGGCCTGTACTCCATCAGTTTACCTAACAAACACAATTTCTCCTTTGACTACTATGCATTCCTAATTCTGATAATGATCTCCTACATTCCACTTTTCCCCCAGTTATACTTCCACATGATACACCAGAGAAGAAAGGTCCTTTCTCGGACTGAAGAACACAAGAAATTTGAATAGTTCCTGCTTCCTCCACCATCCCCCCAAACCAGACTTTTCAGTGATCAAAAAATGCCACAGACTTTTTGAGTTCCCAATACATTTCATAGAAAAGAATTAAGAACTATTTTTAAAATACTAAAAACAAAAACAAAAAAACCAAAATCCAGTGTCACATGGGCCTGGGATTTTATAAAAAAGAAAAATTTTAAAAGCTATTACATAAAATGTCCTGGCTGGTCCATTTCAGCATGCTCTTTCAACCAGAAGTCTTCAGTATTTACAATGGTGCTAGAAAGGGATTTGGCATCTATTCCTCATGTGTCCGTCACATATCCAATAAAGAGAGACCTATCACACTGAAAAAAAAAAATAAATAAAAAATAAAAAGGGCTGGGGATGTAGCTCAGCATGAAGGCCCTGAGTTCAATTTTTGTTGTTGTTGTTTTTTGGTACCAGGGATTGAACTCAGGACCTTGCGCTTGTAAGGCTGAGTTCAAATTTTTAAAAAGGGTTTTTGTTTTTGCTTTTTGGCTTACCACCTCTTTTTGCTACACTCTGAGCTGTGGAACAGGTGTTCTTTTGTCCATAGCTATGTTCATCTCATTGAGTGCAGGCTAGGCACCCAAGTGCTCAGAAATGGTGTCTCCCACCTAAATACACAAAAGAGTTCATCCACATCTGCTGGTGGTGCAGCTGTGTGCTCAGGCAGGCCCCCTTCTCCAGACACAGCAGGACCTAGCTAGCCTGCTCATCCCCCCCAGCCACCCACAGGGCACCACTGGCCTCCTGTACCACCTCAAGAGAACATCTGAACCCCAACAGAGGCTGTGCTGCTTAGGCAGAGGCCCTAGGAGGCCGGAACACTGCCTGCCTCACTCTTCCCTGCTGGGCATCAGGGAGGGAGGATATCCACCTCCAGGGGTGGCCCTGCCTCACTCAGAGCTGTGGGCCGAGGAGGCTCCCCAGCCTGCAGGGAGGTGAACACCGCAGCCCACAGGCCAATTTTATACTTTCCAACTCCGTTTTCTTCAAGGTGGTTATCTGGCTCCATGCCAGGGCAGGGAAGGTGTCCCTGTGGTGGGGAACTGGCAGTCACCAAGGAGATGGCCTAGGTGGGGAAGGGAGGCTAGGGTTGGGTCCTGTGAGCATCAGGGACAGCGTGCCTCTCCAGCTGAAGCTAGGCCTCTTGTTTCTCTAAGCACATGTTTTCCATTATAAATACAGTCCATGCTCCTCACAGAAAGTACAGAATCTCAGAAAAGCATAAAGCCAGGTACCCAGGCTCCCTGAGGGAGCTGCTGAACCTGTGTCCTCCATGCCCTTCGAACTAATGGCCAGCAGCTCCTCCCACACCCCCTCCACCAGGGGCCTGGGGTCTCAAGGGTCCCACTATCACCCGGGAGCCTTCATCTTCTTTAGCCACTGGCTGGGCTCCAGGAGTTATGGCAGGGCAAGGCCCTGAGGCTGCACCCTGGTTGAAGAGATGCCTGACACTCTCCCACCTGTCTGTGCCTAGCAGGATGAGGCCCTCAATTATTCTTTGTCAATAACCGTGGTTCTCCTGGGATCTTGTGCAAAGCGCAGGTTCTCAGACAGCTCCACCTGCTAAGAGAGGCAAAGGGAACCCTGCCTTAGACTTGTCCTTAGCCAGTGCCTAAGTCCCAAGCCCACCAGCCAGCTGCCCCCCCACCCCCCAACATTCCCACCCTTGTCCTTGAGTCTCTGGCAGCCGATCTCAGCCTTGGTAGGACCCAGCACTGCTCCCCTGATTGAAGACTCCTCACCCTTCAGCCTCTTGGGAAGGCCTAAAGAAACCCTGTTGGCCTCCTGCTAGGGTCTGCGGCCCAGAATGGATGACAAGAGAACAAGGTGAGTGCGGGGACCATCACTGGAGTCACTGCCAGTGGCCAAGGACTGGCAGGCTGGTGTGTGAAGGTTTGGGCAAGGACCAACCGACCAGGCTTGGGCATTGGAGAGCTGGGCCAGTGCAGTGGTTCCCGCTGCACCCACTCACCCCCTCGAGTATGCGACCCGCCCACAGCACGTGATCTACCCAGCCTACCCCCCACTCGCCTCGCCGGCCCCGCCCCCAGGCGCACGCCCGACCCTCACCCTGACTGCCGACTCCACATTCCCCGACCCCAAAGACTCTGCTATTCGGGGTCTGCTCCTGCAACCCCGCCCCGACCTACCCCTACCCGACTCCGGCCCCACCCTCGGGGCTTCTTCCCGCCCCAAGTGATGGTCAAGCCCCGCCCCCGCCACAGAACCTGCGAGCACGGCGCGGGCTCAGGCTCCTAGCCAGGGGGTGCCGCCGACCAGGTGAGTGCCACCCTTCCCTCAGCCCCTGTCTCCCGCGCGGCGCCCCTGCCCTGCGCCCTGACTGGGGCCCCGCGCAGCCTCTGATACCCCTCCAGGGGCTCGGCGCCCTGCTCGCAGCTCCGTGAAGCCCCGCTTGGCGTTCCACTGTGCGCCTCCTGCCTTTGACGCGCCGGGGGCCCCCATGCTCCCTTGGGTGCCCGCGGGGCTCCCCTGCCGCTGTCCAGTGCCCCCTCGCGTCCGTAACCACTCCTAGACTTAGCCCCGCATTCCTCAAACCCTTCCGCTCCCAGTCCACAAGTCTCTGCGACGCGGAGTACGCCCCGTGTGCCCGGTCAGGCAGCTGCCGCAGGGGACCCGGACGGCCTTCTCTCCCCATCGGTCCTTCTTCCCCACGGCGGGCAGGCTCTGGGGCTCTGGGAGCCAGTCCCGGGGATGGTGGTGTAGGAAAAGTGCATGGAGTTGCAGGGCCACTAGGACCGGCGAAGGGAGGGGTGTGAGAGTCGCATGCAAAGCGCTCTGCTCTCTGGGCACAGGCCACCGACAGTTCAGCGTTTGTGCTCTGGATCATACCTGACCGCCAGGGCACCCACCCCTCCCCAGGAATCCACCCACCAGGAACCTGCCAGCTACCAGGTGCCCTCCAGGGCAGGGAGGGGAGGCCAGGAGCCCAAAGTCAGACCTTTGAAGCTGTTTGGGAGAAAGAGATGGGGCAGGGGTAGGGACACCCAGAGCCTTCGGGCACAGGTGGTGAGAGCAGCAGTGACCATGCACTGCAGGGGGTTCCTGGTAAAGCTGACATTTCCAAAAAAGTGTGCTGGAGTAGGAGGTGGACTTGCAGACCTGCTGAGCCCTGAGGAGGCTGTGCAGCTCTGACCTCCCTGCTGCTGCCCTGGGTCAGCCCACACCCACCTCAGTTTACCCCTCCTGAGGAGAATCTGCCCCCACCCTGGCTGCCTTAAGGACAGTGGAGTGAGGGAGCAGGAGTGGAGCTGCCTCCAGCCCGCTCTGATCAAAGGCAGAAGCAGAGCTCAGAAAGCTCATCCTGGGGTGGCTGAGAACCATGTTTGCTCCACCCAGCATAGGAGGAGCACTGGGTGTCCACAACCTCCAGGTGAGGTGGGCCCAGGAGTGCCCTGAGCACCTCTCTCGGCTGCAACTGACCTTAACTGGGACTGGCCTGGCCTGGGAGGGGTCTCAAGGTGCAGCCCTGACCTCTGGCCACCAGCCATGGGGGATTCTGGTGCTGAGTCCCACTTCTGTCCCCAGGCTCCTGTCAAGTCTCCCCCCACACACACCTTCTCTCCAGGAGTCCAAGTAGATCCCTTTCCTGATGCTAGAGGGGAGATGTAGGCTGTTCAGGACAGTTTGTGAGAGCTATTATTGAGCTCTAGGCATTCTGCACAGCATCTTGCATGCTTTGGCTCCTTTCAACAACTTCGGTTTGTAGGACTTTCTGACACCTGAAGCCAGGGCTCTGGAAGCTTGGTAGCTTCCCTAAGATCATAGGCTAGTGTGGGCAGGAAGCTTGATGGGAGTGGGCCTGCCCCACTGCCCTGATAGGAGGCCACCAAGCAGGTCCTTCCCTGGTGGGGGTGTGTGGGGCCAAAGGCCCCATTTTGGCTTCTTTCTCATTGAATCCTCCCTCACAGTTGAAAGGTCCCCGGGGCAATTTTCCCATGAGCGTGTAATTTTTGTAGCTAAAAGATTGCTGCTTCCAAATAATGGCTCTTGCAGAATTATAAGAGGCAGGCAGAGAGCAATGGGCCCATTTTGTTCTTTCCTGCTCTGAAGTGTACCTGGGGAGTTGGAGTGTTTATAGGGACAGTAGGAGCAGTGGCCTGGCAGCCTTCAGAGGCCCTCCCAGGGTCTGGGTGGCCTCAGGGGAGCCCTGAGCAGCTGAGAGCTCCCATAAAAGATGGAGGAGCTTGTTTGATTTAAGATCAAACGTGCATTTAGGAGCTGCTGCTCAGAAAGCCCAGGACTCGTGCTAGCCAGGACCTGAGCCCCACTGGTCCTCTGCCCTCTTGCGGATAGACAGCTCACCTTCAGGGTCTGCTCCATTGTCTCTACCCAGTCCCCATTGGGTCCCACAGGGCTTGGGCCAGAGGTCACTCCTTGGTATTTTGAAGAAGGGTGACCTGCAGGCCTCTGCAACTGGCTTGTGCATCCTGGTCGCCTAGATTCTTACATGCCCGCCACATCTCCAGACCATATCCCTGCTAGAATCCATGCCACAGATGCTTCCCACAGAAGCAGGCTTCCCCTGATTCCCTCTGAGGCCAACTTCTAGTGCCAAGGCTCCTGGGAAAGGCCTGCTCCTGGCCAGGCACAGACATGGGCTAAAACCATGGTGATCATGGGCCCCGGCTGACCTGGCCTCTTCCTCAACCCAGAGATACTTTTCAGACCAGAGGTTTGCCAGAAGGACTCCTGGGCAAGGTCATAAAATGCAGTCACCCCAACCTAGTACTTTATCTTTTTATTAAATAGGATTTTGTCACACACTTCACAAAGGATCACAGCACATCAGCCAGTGCAGTTGGCACCCAGGGGCACAAATCTAGCAAAACAGAAAGTGTGCTTCCCTTCCCTCTGAGTAGAACTTCAGGTGACACTTGTCTCTCAGGCTGGCACCAACACCTCACCCCTCCTGCCACTCTTCTGCCACTCCTGGTCAGGCTTCCATCTTGTCTCTGGCTGGTATTCCCTTTTCCTGATGCTTGGCAGCTGTGGTGGTGCTACTGAACCCTGACTCTATTCTGCTCAGGATTGCACTCAGTGGTACTATGAGAGCCCACATCCTCTCTGAGGGGTGCGTCTTAACCCCTCCCCTCTGGCCCTGCTTCTCTTCCTTATTCATGTGCTGTGTTCCTTTCAGCCTCTTTTAGTTCTCTTCAGTATTCTCTAGGCTGGAGTCAGTCTTGACTTTCATGGGCTTAGGTTTTGGTTTTGTTGTTGTTAGCTTGTTTGAATGACTATTTTTTTGTACCCCAAATCTGTAAATTTTAGAAATAGACACCTATTAATTTTGCTTCTTAAAAGGCCAAATTATTTCATATTTCATCCATGCCTTATTTGAGGATCCTGTACATGTAAAGTATGTTCTAAGCATATCAGTTAAGTCATGGAGCTGTTCTTGGCTCTCCCAGCCCTTTTTTCCCTGTCTTCCACATCTTAGCTGCCTCCACTCAGCCCCCTGGTGTCCCCAGGATGAGTTCCTCCCCTGGAAGCCATGGGCGTCCCCTATCTGCATTGCTCACCATGGGTCAGCGAACAAGTCCAGAGCTCTGGAGTAGCACAGTGTAGTGGCCTTGGCTCAGACCAGAGGACTCCTGTCTGTGCATGGGCCTGGATTCTGTCTGGATTGTCTGGATTCTTTGTGTGCTTGGATTCCTTGCTGGCTGCCCCAGTGCCACTCATCAAGGTACCAATCCTAACCCTACCCAGTGCCCTCTTCTTCATCAAGGGAGGAGTTATTTTCTTTTTCTTGCCCCCCTCCCCACCCTGTACTGGGGATCGAACTCAGAACCTTGCACTTGTGAGCCAGGTGTGGTGCCACTGAGCTAAATGCCCGGCCCTTTTTCATTGTTTTTAATGAAAGATTTCAAACACACAGGAAAACATAACATGCTGTAACAAGAGTGTATATCTGTCACCTGATCCAACAGATGCCAACATCCTCTCTACCAGCCTCATTGCCTGTCCACAAAGCCCCCTATGCCAGCCCCACTACCTTTGTGGTAGGCTGCTTGGTGTCATGCCCCTAGGCTATGCCTCTGCCCTGTGCATTTCCTTGGCTGTCACTGTTCTGTGCATCTTGTGTTCACTTGTTCTTGGCTACTGTGCTGTATGAGACAGTAAGCATCCACCTCGTTCCTTGTTATGTTGCTGCCTGGGGCGAAAGAAATCTATCATTGCTGGGGAGGGGATGAGCCTCATCCTAGTCAGGCCAGCATCTGAGGACCTGCTGCCTCCACGTGTCCCTCAAGGCTGTGATAGCAACACCTATTAGGTTGCTTCCCAAGTCATTACAGCACTGTCTGACAGGTTGGCCAGCCACTGCTGGGCGCTGGACCTCTGGGGTGATCACTGCTGCATGGATTCTCAGAAAAGCTCTGGTTGGGGGTGGACATGCCCACAGGGGATGGTGTTCCCTGGGGTCTGGTAGGCAGTGGCAGAGCCTTCTGTGGAAGGAAGGCCCATGCCCCAGTGGAGTCCAGCATGGCTCCTCAGGAGAGCAGGCTGGAGGTCAGTGCATGTCCTGGGGGTATCTACTGGCTGTGAGAGCCCTCTGCAGCCCTGTCTCTCCAGAGTGTGCTCCGGAGCCCTGGGAAGTAGAACCTGCTAGGCAGAGATTGCCCTCCTGCAGTGCTGTCTTGGGGGGAACCATGGAGCGTAGGTCACAGGGCAGCCACAGAGGTAGCATCAGCAGACGCGGGTCTCAGTTCACCAGCCGCCTGCCCTGCTGTCCCCACGGTGGCTGCTCCTTCCTCTCTGGGCTTGTTTTCCAAACAATTTGCTTAATGTGATTCCCGGCTGAGTTGAACATGACTAATCGTGTTTACCTACTGCTGCCGGGCAGGCGGGGCTGAGGATGGGCCAGGAGGAAGGAATGCTGGATGCACCCAACTCACTGGTTCTCCCTTCTCTTGTAGAGACGCACACGTGCAAGTGGCCTCCATGGAGCCTCTGTACCCGGCCTTTACGCCTAGCTGGAACACCTCAGCTGCCAGCCCTGGAGACAACCACAATGGGACACCAGTAGGGTCAGCACCATCAGCGGGGGCCCGGGCAATACTGGTGCCCTTGCTGTACCTGCTAGTGTGCACTGTGGGGCTGGGCGGCAATGGACTGGTCATCTACGTGGTGTTGCGACACGCTAAGATGAAGACGGTCACCAATGTGTATATCCTCAACCTGGCCGTGGCAGACGTGTTGCTTATGCTGGGCCTGCCCTTCCTGGCCACACAGAACGCTGTGTCCTACTGGCCCTTCGGCCCCTTCCTATGCCGCCTGGTCATGACACTGGATGGCATCAACCAGTTTACTAGCATCTTCTGCCTGACCGTCATGAGCATTGACCGCTACCTGGCTGTGGTCCACCCGCTCCGCTCTGCCCGATGGCGCCGCCCACGAGTGGCCAAGCTGGCCAGTGCTGCTGTCTGGGCCTTCTCGCTGCTCATGTCTCTGCCACTGTTAGTCTTCTCAGACGTGCAGGAGGGCTGGGGCACCTGCAACCTCAGCTGGCCAGAGCCCGCGGGGCTGTGGAGTGCAGCCTTCATCACCTACACGTCTGTGTTGGGTTTCTTCGGGCCGCTGCTGGTCATCTGCCTCTGTTACCTGCTCATCGTAGTGAAGGTAAAGGCTGCAGGTGTGCGAGCAGGGTCCTCGAGAGGCCGGCGATCTGAGCGGAGGGTGACCCGCATGGTGGTAGTCGTGGTGCTGGTCTTTGTGGGCTGCTGGCTGCCCTTCTTCATTGTCAACATTGTCAACCTGGCCTTCACACTGCCTGAAGAGCCTGCCTCTGCTGGCCTCTATTTCTTCGTAGTGGTCCTGTCCTATGCCAACAGCTGTGCCAACCCACTGCTCTATGGCTTCCTCTCTGACAATTTCCGCCAGAGCTTCCGCAAGGTTCTGTGTGTTCGTGGGAGCTACGGCATGGAGGATGCTGATGCCATGGAACCACGGCCAGACAAGAGTGGCCGACTACAGGAAGTCACGCTGCCTCCTACACGCAGCTGCCAAACAAATGGGCACATGCAGACCAGCCGGCTGTAAGAGCCACCTGGGTCTTTCAGGGACCACCCAATGTCATCTTCCTGGTGTGAGAGTGTGCTGAGGCACTCATCCTTGGGCTGCACCTCAGATACTCTTTAGCAGTGGCCTAAAGAAAGGAGCTGCCTGGGACAGAGCCATGGATGGACACAGCACAGCTGGCATCCTGCAGTGACTGTGTCGTTCCACCACCCCCTTTCCCTATGTGGGCCAGTTCTGGAGCTTTGGGGGACTCAGCTATGCCCCGAAATATCTGGCATCTCCAGCTGTCCTAGCCGAGCCTATCACAGCCTCCAGGCCAAGGGAGCCAGCAGAGGCACTCTTCCTGACCCCTGGTATGAGCTGAGGCCTTGCTGCATGTGCCCTTCATCATGGGAGCTCTGTGTCACCTGGTCAGTGGCCAAGTGCTACTCTTGAGAAATTAGACAACCGAATATACTCTACTCTGGCCTCCGTTCCCTAGAGCTGCCAGGGGCCAGGCAACAGCCCCAGATCCTCACTGGCCATGAGACTCTGTGGACATTGGGGCAGCAGGTGCAATGCTAGGATTTCCTGGGATCCCAGAATGAACACTGTCCTCAGGGCCCTACCCTCCTGTCCACTTGGCCCAGTGGTGGGAACTGTGGACAGGGCAGACACAGGGATTGGCCACCCTGGGATGAGTTCTGTCCAGGTGCCAGCAAGGCAAGCTGAGGTGAAGAGCTCTGCTGGAGGTCAATGTGTGAAGGCTGTGAGGACCCTTCTGGGACAATCAGGAGCTCTGGCCAGGAGAAGGAGCAGGACAAGTGGACAGGAGGGAGTTGGGAGAGTCTCGCCTCCCAGCGCAAATAGCACAGCCTGGGAAGATGGTGCTGTGTGGATGGATGCAAATGCCAGCAGGTATGGGCCCTGAGGATCCACCCTCAGGATTGTTCTTAGCCCACGACAGCTTCTCTGCTCTACCAAGGCCAGGAGTGGAGCCCTGAGAATCCCTGTGCCACCACCTTCCTTGGGCCCCCAGGATGCCTTGACTTCTCTCTGAGGCTGGAAGGAGAAATCGGCTCCACAGTCATCTGCTCTGGGACAGCCCTGTCTGACACTGCCCAGGCCCCCCAGGAAGATGCAGGGGACAGGGCAGGATAAAGCCAGGCCAGCGCTGCTAAGTCTCCCGTGTGACACCCAGACGGCTCATCCTGGAACATGTTCTGAGTACCAAAGGCGCTTGTGTTTGACAACCTGCTCCCTGAATAAATTAGAGAATAAATGTTTGATTCTTTCCCAAAGCAAATATTGTCCCTGTAACTGAGCAAAATCGGCACAAACCAGAGTGTTTTGTAGGTGTAAGGCTGCCCTGGCCCCAGGAAACCAAACCCTGACAAAGTAGGGTAGGACCCAGACCCAGCTGCAAGTGGGGAGCCAATGAGGCAGGTGGTTAAACAGAGTTCCCTAAAAGTCAGGCGTCATCAGAGTTCTGGCTGGGTCTGGCCCTGCTTGGTTTCCTGGGCTTAGTAACTGCCCCAGGGGATGGGGGGTCTTCATGTGGGTTGCCAGAATTCTGTGCCCAAGTCACCAGTAGCTGGAGACAAAACCCACCCCTACACACTGGGGGTGGCATCCCAAGGAGAGATGTGCCCAGGGAGGAATCCAAGGCTTGTCATCCTCCCACCCCCCCTCAAGCTCCCTGGGACTTGGATGCAAAGTGCATCTTCCACATGGCTTACAGCAGCAAGCAGATGGCTTAGATATCTCTACCCAGATCACCTTCTCCAGATTGATTTGACATCGAGCCCTCCCTCCCCAGGGTCCGCCAGCCTGACACCATGGAGTATGGCTATCCCTCTGTGTCATCTCTGGGGGGCTTGGGTGGAGACTGAGGCTGCCCTTAGAGTGACCTGGCAACAGCTGGAATATGCTTCTCAGTGGACCTTGGTCCTTCTGGGAGCTTTCTGCACCCTGGGCACCCTGCCCCCCACCTTGTCCAACCAGGAGCCCTGTGGATCCTGCAGTATCAGCCAGATGCAGGGACTTGTTTCCTTTGTTCCTACACACTAGTCTCGAACCCCACAGGGCCAGTCTGGTCCCCAGGCTGTACGCAATTCACCTGCTGCCCTCCGCTTGTGGCCTTATCCTAGTCAGATGCACAGCACTCCCCTCTTGTCCTCCCTTGTGGTTCCTGCCATGCTGGCCCACAGGGGTCAGTAGGCTCCCATTGGTCCCCCCAAGAGTAGAGCCTGGATCACCTCTTACTACCTGCAGCCCCTGGGCCCGGTAGAGAAATTGCGTGTGAAGGCTCAGGCCAAGGAGCACAGTGTGTGAGTTCTCCACTAGTGGTGTGGGGAGGGGATTGGGAATAGAGAGGAGTAGGTACAGTCCTCACCCCTGCCCCCGGAGCTATGGTGCAGGTTGTGGGAGGAGGGGAGAAATTGGAGGAGGGAGAGGCTGGATGCAGGAAGTTTTGTCCAGGACAAGAGGCAGCCTGGCCCAGGGCAGGACATGGAGGACCAAAGGTGCTGAAGAGGCAGAATCATTGTCCCTGGTGTAACGGGGGGAAGTAGCCCAGGCTGGCTCCTGGCTGGGGCATATGGGAGAGCAAGACCCCAAGTCTGGTGGTGGAGACTGTGGAGCCTGTGGGATATTCCGGGGGAAGGGGGGTTCTGTGGATTCCACAGGTTCTGGGACCAGGCTTGGCCAATGTGGATAGCTGGGGGGACACATGGTAAGGGACAAGGACCTGGACACCCCATGGGCACCTGTATCAAAGGCTAACAGGGGTGTCCAGGAGGAGTATGGGCTCTGGAAAGTCATGGTGGTCCTAGTGTATTCTCGAACCCATCACAGGTTTCAGGGTCCCCACAGCCACGACCACTGGGGCTGAGGGGCTGTAGGGGATGAGGGCATGAGAGAACCTACAGGGACCACGGGGCAGCCTCTGTGTATAGATGTTGGGAGGGGAGAGCAAACACCTAGGGCCGGAGCAGTGACCTGCTTTATGGGCTCTCTGTCCGCATCGATGGGTTTTATTGGCCTCTGGGCTCCCGCGACTCCCAGGGTGACCTTGCTCAGGAAATCCGGCCTGTAGGCAGGGACAGAGACAAGGGACAGGAGGTATCTGTTTGCCCGGTAGGGCGGGGTGCAGACCAGGAAGGGAGGGTGATGGCGAAGCAGCCTCCACAGGTGTGTGTGGGGGTTATTCTCCCCACAATGATCTAAACCGAGGCTCACTGGATGGGGGGCGCAAACAAAGCTGGGCTGAGGGCCACAGTGGCAGTGGCTCCTCCCAGGAGCAATGCCGATGTCCCTGGCAGGTTCCTGAGGAAGGGTCCCCCTCTTTCAGGTGTTCCAGGGAGGAAGGAGGGAGGATGGGGTGCTAGTATGCACTGGGCAAAGATGATGGGGTGCTGATGAGAGGGACATCATTGTCTCTCACCAGATGGCCCCCCAAGGATGGGAGTCAGGGGAGACTGTGGGTTCCCAGGGTCCTGGGATCAGGACGTCTCTTCACTCCCCTGCGTCCTCACCTCCCATGTTTCTTAGACTCTGTCCCCTGTCACAGGAACAGGTGCGCTTAAACTAAGCAGTTTGAGGAATACCTAATAAAAGGCCACTTGGTGCTCTGGATCAGTGCCCTGGGATAATAGGGGACAAGGTCACCAGAATCCAGAGATGGAGGGGTTGGCAGAGGCCACCTGACCTGGCATAGACCTCTAGACAAGAAAAGTGGCTGATACTTTCTCTCCCTCCCATGCCCTGCTGGCTCTCCATACCTGGACACAGCTGGAAGTTGTCATTGAGGTCCATTGAGACCAGCCGTCAGCACAGCGCAGAGGGAAGACAGATGAGGGTACAAATCACATGGTCATCTATCCTGACTGGGTGGACAGGAAAGGGGTGACTAGGAGCTGCCCTTGTGTGGGTCAAGGATCTGCCACTCACCCTCCCCACCCCTCCTGACTGGTTGCTGCCCCTCCCCATGGGGCTCTGAGCTTTAGGAGGGAGCCCCAGCCATGCCTGTACTCTCAGAAATCCACATCCTTACTCCTAACCCATCCCTGAGGGTCATACTAGAGGTCCCTGAGCGAGGCAGGGGCTGCATTTGAGAGGGTTCTCTGTGGCTCTCCTGCCCATCTGGCTGAGACTTCCCTTCCCCAGCCCAGCAACTACGATTTCACTTTCTGACTATGGGTTTGACTTCTCTACAAAGGATTTTTTGTTTGTTTATTTGTTTATTTTTGTTTTTTGTTTTTGAGACAGGATCTCGATAAGCAGTTCAGGCTGGCCTTGAACTCACTATGTAGCCCAGGCTGGCCTGGAACTCACAGTGATCCTCCTCCCTCGGCCTTCTGAGTGCTGGGATTACAGGCATGTGTCCCATACCTGGCTCTACAAGGGTTCTTATAAGAGTGGAATCACAGTATTTGTCCTCTTGTGGCTTTTTTATTTCACTTATCATAAATGTTCTTGAGGTTCATCCATATTGTATCGGGTGTCAGAGTTTCCTAAATAATACTTTATTGTAGCCGTGGCATGTAATCCCATTTACTCAGGAGGCTGAAGCAGGAAGACCACAAGTTTGAGCCTAGTCTGGGCAACATAATAAAATCCAGTTTCAAAATTTAAAAATTTTTTTTGAATGAGTAGGAATGTAGCTTAGTGATTGAGCACTTCCCTAGCATGCTGGAAGTCCTAGGTTCTATCCCCATACCACATGCAAAAAAATTCCTTCATATCTGGGTACCACAGTCACCATGAATGGACATTGGGTCGTGTCACTGTCTCATCCTGTTTGTGCTTTATAACAATTTATAAAGAATGGAAATTTATCTCTCTAGAATCCTCTTGCCTATCCATTCTTCCAGGCTCTTGTCAACTCTTTTTACAAAGTTAAAAAAAAATGAACATTTTTTTTGCACAAATGTTCAAATAGCATTATTCATAATAGCCAGATGTTTATCAACAGATAATGAATAAAATGTGCTCTGTCCATACAATGGAATACTACTCAGCCATAGAAGGAAGGAATCTCGACAATGTGGATGACCCTCAAAAAACATGATGCTCAGAGAGAAGCCAGGTACACAAGAACAGGCTCTGTGCGATCCCCGCTGACATGAAATGGTCCAGGACAGGCAGGCCAGCAGGAACAGAAGGCCAGACAGAGGTCACCAAGGGGGCTGTGGGGAGGCTGTCAGATGGGCACAGATTCCTCAGGGGCTGAAAACATTATAGCAAGTCAGAGGTGGTGGCTGCAGGTTGTGAATGTACTAACGGCTGCTCAGCTTTTCATCCTGAAAAAGTAAATGCTATGTTGTATGAACTTCACCTAATTTTAAAAGACTGGGTTTTTATTGGAATTCCAGTGGACCAGAAAGCCAATGTGGATGAACCACTTCCCAGCAGGTCTCACCCCAGTGTCCCAGGGCTGTCCACAGATCCAGAGATTTCCCTAGTTTCTTTTT